TATATATATATATATATATATATATATATAATCTCAATAAAAATCTCACAAAGCTTTTGTGTAGAAGTTGAGAAATTGATTCTGAAATTCATATGCAAATGAAAAAGAAATATCATAGACAAAACAATTTTGAAAAATAAAAAAGCTGGCGCACTCATACTATCTAATTTCAAAACTTATTTCAAAGCTGCAGTATCAGAAATCTGTGATATTGGTATAAAAATAGGCATATACATCAAGGGAACAAAATACTCCAGAAATCGACCCATAACAATATTGTCAATTCACTTTCAAGACATGTATATAATAAGGGTACATTAGAGAAAGCACAGACTTTTTAACAAAAGATTTGAAATGTTTGCTATCCACATGTAGAGTCAGGAGGTTGGAGTCATATCTTGCAAGATATTAAACATTAACTGAAATTCACTATAGATCTAAATAAAAACATAAAAATTTTTAAATCTCTAGGGAAAAATATGGAGAATATATTTGCAATCTTGGATTAATCAGGGATTTCCTTGGTCTTACACTAAAGTATAATGTGCAAAGAAAAAAATGGCCAAATTTATCAAAGTAATGACCTTCTACTCTTTGAAAGACCCTGTTAAGATAATGAAAAAATAAACATTTTGAGAAAATACTTCCCAATCACATATGTACTAAAGGACTTGTACCCAGAATATTTAAAGAACTTTAAAAACTCAGCAATAATGAAACAAGAAAATCCAACCTAAAAGTGTGCAAAAGATTTGAACTGATTTGTCACTGATGAAGCTCAAGGATAGCAAATAAGCACCTGAGAAGATAATCAACATCATTCATCATTAGAGATGCAATTCAGAAACAATTAGATACCAACGCGTGTCCAAATCACTAAAATTACAAAGACAAACCAGTCCAACTGTTGATGCAGAAAAAGAACAACTGAACTGCTCATGGAAATGTAAAATTATACAGTCATTTTAGAAAACAGTTTGACAGTTTCTTAATGTTAAACACACCTGCTATGTAATCTAACCATTCCACATCTAGTTACCTAAGACATAAGGAAGCATATGCTCGTACAAACACTTGCACAAAAATGCTCACATCAGATTTCTTTGTAGAAACCAAATCTAGAAATAACCTAAATTTCAATCAAGAGTTGAACTGTCACCTTGCAGCTGCCGACTCAATGCTCCCATGCACTGATCCTTTGAAGTCATAAGGGAGTGTCTTGGAATGCTGAGACCCAAGGGAACAATCTCAGTAAAGCTTCCTTATCTGATGGTCTCGGAATGCTGAGTCCATCCATAGGGATCATACGTATGTGTGAAAGCACAACTTGTGTTTGATTACAATGAGTTTCAGTGAAGCAGTTGCCAGACACATCGAATCAACAAACTGGGTTAAGATATTCAAATTTACTTCTTTGTGGCATTTGAGAATAAAAGCTTTGCGCCTGCCAAAATCGGGGCTCGGTGCACAGAGACTGAGACCCCTGGCCTGCAGTAACTCTATACTTCACTCTTGTGTTTCTTAGCCCTTTGCCGCCCCTTCTCGAGCTCCCCAGCCCTTGTCACGCAGGATGTGATATCTGGCGCCCTAACGTGGGGCCTCAAAGAGGGAAAGTGAGACTCCAACTCTAAGAAAGAAGGTTTAATGGCGACAGGGCCTTGGGAGAAGCCATGGCCACTACCGGGTAAGGAGGTAGGGAAGATCCCGGGGAATTTAACCAGGGTAAAGAGGAATTTACTAAAAAACTTTCGTATGAAAGAGTATGAATGTGTGAGTGACTGACTATAGTTCCACAGCTTCAGCTACGGAACTTGACTGGGCCCTAATCTGCGATTCC